GGTACAATGGACGTTGAATGTATTTTAATTCGTTCAGGTGTGACGTATCTTCCAAAATGTACAATACTTGTGACGTCACGGTGGAACAAGCGCGCGGATCTCCAAAATTATTTATTAAATTTATAATTTTATACGCGAAAAGAGAGAAAGAATCGTACGTTCAAATTGACGTAAACATTTGTTATACATTTTTTGTCTGGATTTAATTGTTAATATTTTCAAAATCGTCGAACAAAATAATCTCATTTATTTTGTTGCTTTTTTTTCTTTCTCTTCAGATATAGCAGATGATATTATTAAATATCGTTTATTTCAATCGATATTACGTTAAAATCATTGATTGCAAATATGATCAAAATCAAAATTCAATATCGAGAATGGTATTCCGACGTTGTTCCTCCATGTACGGTCCGCCATATTGTTAATGTATCTATTGTAAATCTTTGTATGTATTGTAAAATGTATCTTTGCTTGGAGAGGCGACATATCTTAAGTTAATAGTGTTCTTCAATACATGAAAAAAAAAAAAAACAAAAAAAAAAACAGAAGTAAGAAAAAAATTGAAGAAAGAAGAACGTGCGATCGGTTCCTCGCGACAAGCTGGCGTTGAATGTCCTTAAAATAATTTCGAACGAAAAAAAAAGTATGCAAATTTGAATGGTATTTTTTGTCTCTGTTTTTTCTTTTTTTTTTTTTTTTTGAAACCATAAAGAAATGATTAGGAATAGAATTGAGAAGAATTTGTAGAGAAAACATAAAAGATTAGAGAGGATCGGGCGCGAGCAGGTCGCGAGGATTTGCCACATACATTTATGTACACATATACATAATAATATATTGTATAAGTAATTGCAATTATTATGGAATCATTATATGCGATATTGAAATTTGTATATCATGAAGGAATTAAAAATGGGAGAATATCCTGAATACGAAAGTAAATGAACAATTTGTTGATTCTAATTAGAAATTAAAAGAAAAATAGATTAAGAATAAGAATAAGAATAAGAAGAAAGAAAAAAACCAATAAGTAAAAAGGAAGAGAGAAGAAAGAATAAATGAACAATCGAAGTGTTCTCTTCGATATTTGTCAAACGATTCCCTCGTGAACAACACACACGTTCAGTCGGTACGCGTCCTTTTCCCTCGCTGTTTTTTTTCATTAGAAACAAAGTTTTTACCGTTTGATCCTTTTTTTTTATTTCACTCTCCCAACAGTTTTTAAACTTACAATAAGACAAATATTTAACCGCGGTAAATGTGAAGAGAGAATTAACTTTCCTACGAACGTGAGATCAACGAACCGTACATTTTCAAATCACGTAAAACATCAATTTCTTTATCTTTTTTTTTTATTACTATTTCTAGTCGTTAACTCTGGTACATATACATATATTGAAAAAGTATTTTCGTTATTACGATATAACATTTTTGTAGAATTCACGAACAAACGTAAACTTTGAAGACGGAATTAATATTACAAATGGTAAAAGAATGGTAGAGCCTGTAGTAGGTGGTACACGAAAATCAATAAAAATAATCGCTATGGAGAGAAAACGATAAAAAAAAAAAAAAAATATTCAAAATCAACTTTTATTCGTTCTCCACGCAGCGGGAAATAATTCAACGAATTTTAATACAAACTCTACGAACCTGTATTTCGCGGAACGACCGAGCTCGGATTAACGTGGAATTTTTTAATTTACATCCCCTAAATACATTTTTTATCATCGTTCGTTATACGCGTTTCAATCGACTTATTTCTTGTTTTCCCAAATTTATTTTTTATTTACTTTTTTTTTTTTTCTTTTTCAACTAAATTCAAAAATCAATAAAAAAATTTTATTAACCATTTTATTTGTACGAAATATGAAAACAAAATTTATCTCTTCTTTACTTTTTTTTTTCTTTTTTTTTTTTTTTTATCTTTTCATGCATTTATCTCTTAAGATTGCTTAGCAAAATAATGCTTGAGAACCGCATTTTTATTTCATTCAAAAAATAGCATAAATCCGTGCATCGATATTTTACTTTTAATACGCACTTCTGTGAATGCACGAGCTCCTATATTCTAACTATTCTAACTATAATCAATTTTTGACACCTTTTCAGCACCCTTCTCTTCTATCGCAAGGACTAAACTTACTACAAGATTTCCCACAATACCAAGGAACGAGAAAAAAATTATTAAACGTTAAATCTGAAGTTATTCTTATGGATTAGTAGTTAAATTTGTAGAAAAAAAACACGCGTAATTTCTTTTTTCTTTCCTAACTGTTTGGAACAAGAATGAAAAGTATCGCGTTAAAATAATAGTTTTCACGTCGCGCAACTTCGAAACGAGATTGTAATAATTTTTGTATTTTTCATACGTGACCTTCCAACGCAGGCACAGCAAGAAACATACTTTATGTTCAACATACTTTACGTTCAAACAACATACGTTTACATTCTAAAAGTTCTTTTAAAAAGGAGAGAAAAAAAAGAAAAACTTGCACGACAATGAGTGAGACATTTTAGACCGCAAACCAACAACGTTCTGAGTAACTTCCAACGAGAAAAATAAAATAAACTGATGATGAAGTCTTTTTAAAGTTAAAGCGAAAGCTAGTTGTTTGACAGCAATTCAAAAAAATCCCGTTGTCGTCCTATGTAAAGAAAATCGTGTGTCGTCATTCTTCTTCAAGATGAAAGAAAAAGAGTATTATGTAATCCAGAAAAAAGGAAGGAACTAGGGTAGATTATTTTGTCGACGTGACAACCATAGCTTTTATCCAACCCTCCTTCCCCCAACTCTCCTCTCCCTTCCCCCTCCCTACTTCATAGCAGGTTCACAAAACGTATTTAGGTACTCGTTGGGCTCTTCCTGGGCGGAAGTTGCGGCGCGGATTTTGTCAGCTCAGCCACCACCACCACCACCACAACCACTACCACCACCACAACCACCACCAATACCAATCACATCCACACCCAGTACCAAAAAAAAGACCTATCCTTCTGATAGCTTCACCAGCACGGTGAGTCTTATTTCTCTACTGTATATGATTCCTGTATTAAATCCTGTAACCGTATACAGAGTCGGATTAAGGATCATAACTTTGAGCTCCAAACCATCCTCTCGTTATTTGTAAGATCCCTCGATTAAAGTATTAAAAAGTTTGTACGTTTTAATACAACTTTCTCTGGATAAATTGAACAAGGAAAAACATTTTCTCGTGTACCAAAAATACATACATTTATTTTATGCACGTATTATAATACGTATGTTAGTTATCTAACCGAAAAATATAATAAATATTCAAATTTCTTTGTTTCTAGCTTTTCCCTTAATTCGACTCTGATTGCTTGCTCTTCTAATATTACTATTATAATTATCTTTACTAATATATAAGTGCTTGCATGTATTCTGTCTTCTTTATTGCTCGTATTGCTTGCTTTGTGTCTGATCTATATGTTTATTATTTATTGCTTTGATATGTGTAAGAATACCTTTAAAATATTAAAGAATTCGTTTGGGTATCTTTCGTATTTAATTCTAATTTCTATGCTTGTCTATGAAATTTGGGTGGGAAATGTGTAAGTATTAAACGTATGGTACGATTAACGGTCAACTAAGCTACAAATTTCTATTCTAATAAAGAACTTGTATTCTTTTTTAATTTACATTCGAAGTATTTAAAAAGAATCGAATAAAGAGAATAGAAATTAGATCTGTACTTAAATCGACTTAGTTCCGAGCGTATTTTCTAACGCGTACGACAAAAGTTCCAAATGTTACCCTATTGAGTAAAGTTTTTAAATAAATTTACAATTTGATCCCTGCAAATTCAGGAAGACTATCGTTATTTGAAATTCTTGGAGTAAAGTTTTTGGTAAAGATTTTCTCTCAAATGATGATAGGCTCCTTGAATTTGCAGAGATGAAAATTGTAAATATAGTAAAAAGAAGAAGAAGAATAAAATAATATATATATATGAAACTTTGAACTTATTTAACGTGAACACACTTTTTACACGATCCACAAATAACAATTTTTTTTTTTCAGGTAAATCTTGTAAAAAGTGATATATATGTATATATAGTAACAATTGGTACGTTATTCTAATAAATATTTTTGTCTATAAATTTATATTAATACAAGATTGGATAATAGATATTATAATATAATAAATCGAAGAACGTTCATTATGGTCGATCTCGACTTTATATGCTCGACGTGTATGTTCGATTTAATTAAGCGAGCTATAATTAGATTCTAAACAATGTGTACATAGTATATGTATGTATGTGTGCGTATATTATTGTTCGAATGCAAACAGAATTATCGAGATATTATGTGCTTGCGTATCGTATTTATGTATTCCATGTAGAGGCATTTTCAACCGCTAGAAATTGTACTTCAGTGTTGCGAACATGCCGAGATGTAAATTGCAGCGAAAGGAAAGTTTAGTGATCCTTCGATGATAGGTATACTTTGCTTATTGGGATATAATCGGTCACGAAAACCAAGAAATTACTTATTGAGTTACAAAATAACTATCGACCGTAATGACGAAACGAAGATAATGGAGATTAACGAGATAGAAACCTATTTTCCTCTCGCTGTTTTACATAGACGTAATCAAAACAAAAACAAAAAAGACACAAAAAAGTGTAAGTCTGTGTTTTGTATTAGGGATGCCTGCAAAAATGCTTTTACGTATTTATTTATAGTGGATAATTTTATGCATGTCTCTTTTTACAATTTATTTGAAAAGCCTTGCTTAGACGATCTTTCATATGTAGTGTTGGAAGGTGTATTGACCAATATCCTACGAGTTATTTGGTGATAATCTCTCCTATGTTTCTTTTCTTTTCTTTTTTTTCTTTTTTATTTATTCTTTTTCTTATAAAATTAGGTATGCATCGATATTGAAAAAAAAAAACAAAGTAGTTCTTTTAGAATTTGTATAAAATAGTAATAGAATAGCATGGAAAACGAAGGTTGTATCATTTTTCAGAATGTAAATCCAACTGGTACCAATATGAGGATGAATGCTGGGAAAAATGTCCGATAGGAAGTTATGCCATCATAGAGGAATCCAGTAGCAGAAAGGTATGCGGGAACTGTCACTACTCCTGTCTGACCTGTTCCGGAGCAACCGATGGTGAATGCACAACCTGTCACTCCGATTCCAAACTATTGACAAATTTCGGCGAGTCCCAGTGCGTTCTTCAGAATTTGGCCTGGCGATTCGAGTCAACAATCTGGTTTTATTGGTTCACCGTTATCTTCTCGATCAATTTGATGATCGTTGTCATCGCGACGATTTACGTAGCCGTCAAATGGTGCATCAAGAAGCATCATTCTTCGGCATATGATTACAGTAAGGTCGCTTATTCGAGCAATGGCGACGCCCGGAAGGTACAACTAAACGATTGCATTTCTGATAGCGAGTAAAACGCGACCGCGAGAGATGCAAATTTCATTATCCCTGGAACCCCATGGAAGTAGTCTGTCTGCTTTCCAGTAGGGACACGATCGACCGTTTTAATGGAAATGAAGAGAACGAGATGGACGTGGAATTAGAGAATATCTGTTGGATCCTATTCCATGATAACGAACGTTGGATATTCGTTAACCGATAAGAACAGGGATAATAACATGAAATGTATTTATTTTCTGACCGACGTGATCGTAAAACATTCCAACTTGTGTCTAATTACGTCGACAGTCTTTACTATAATAATTGATCTCTGATAAAAGATTTTTTTATAGTCCAATGATCGTTTTATTACGATTATGTATGTATTATGTATTATGTGCATATAAGTGTGATGCAACAAAGGGGAATGCAGAGGCTTGTTCTTTTTTTTTGTTGTTGTTGTTATCCTTTTACTATCAACGAATACGTGACACGTCGTTAATATTTTATTTGTTTATTTATAATGATAAATTACTACTCGCGTATTCAAAAAAAGGTTCAAAGAGTCTTCTTTAACGGTATTGATTATATTACTATAAACACGGTCTCAAATGAACCAATAGAAAAATTTGTTCAATATTGTGATCGATTATTACAAGTTCGATTTATTACATAATTTTTTGAAGTAAGATTTTGACTGCATAAGAATAAAACTAACGAAATTTAATATAAAATTAAGCGGTATATCGTTTCTCTATGAACGTTTATATATGATATAAATATATAGGTATATATTTAATAATAATGTACGAAAATACTGTAAATATATTGCTAAGAAAAACTAAGATTTTTCTAGTGCTTTACACCTAAGTAATGTGATATATCATGTTACTGTTAAATAATTTCACACTATTATATTATATTTGTATTAATTATAACTATATTATTGTTCTTTGTTACCACAAATGTACATGTTCCATGCAATAAGAATTTTGCGGGTGTTAATTGTTTTTGTTATATGTGATGAAAGATAAAATACAAGTGAAAAACAAGTATTTCGATTACGCGAGCAATCTCATATTTTATTTTCTTCCAATCAGTCTCCTAATCCTACTTCGTAATTAAATTCGTTATTTCGTCGAGAATGTTATTACCAGGTTTAATTTAATTAAAAATATAACAATTCTTATTACTTTTATATTAAAATTAATTCTCTTTTTACAGTTTGATCCGTATCATTGTATGCTATTTTTAATTCGGTTCTACAGAAATTAATATTATATGTTATATATATAGGAGTATATAATTAAATTATAAATATTTTATTTTCTAAATTAATTTACAGATCAAAAACTTTTTACAAAAGTAATGACGTTTTCTTTTCTGAAACGTTGAAATTATTTAGAATTTTTGTGTTTGCAGTAAAAACTCGATCCAATAGATCCAATATTACCTTTGATTTCAACAGGCTATAAATAATCGGCCAATCCATCCGAAGAAATCGTTTAGTAAAAGGCAAATCTGTCAAAGTCAGTAGATGGCCTACTTCGGTGTTCAAATAATTGATTCCATGATCCAGAAGAAACGTGCTAATTGTGTAATCAAGAATCTTCGTAACAATCTCGCACTTGTAACATGACGCCCTCGAGGTTCGATAATTAACAAACCATTCCTGCATGATATAGCAATACGACTGACAATAGTCGAATTAATTGTCAGAGAGAAATGCAGTACTTAATTAATGAACTATATATACTCTTTATATAAGATAATAATTAATATTCTTTATGTATGTTTTTTTTTTTTTTTTTCAATTTTTTTATATAAACTACTAGCTTACAAAACAAATTACAAATATATTACACATTTTTACGATAGAAATATTATAAATAAATATTAGTAGAATTAAAACAAACACACAAGTTTATTAATAAAATAATTAATAAAATATTGATATCCTAAAAACTAAAAAAAAATTCTGTTTAAACCAAAATAGTTTAGCAAATGGACATCTTTAAATCATTTAACGAACATTAAATGATAATAAAGACGAATCCTCTCTTAGATTCTTTTTAGAAATAGGAATAAAAATTCTACTAGGAACGAAAGGTATTTCGAATTCATTAAAAATCTAGTAAGAAAGAATGAAGGTAAGTCTTTACTTTAATATCAAAAGAGAGAAGAAAGTCAGTAAATCGAGTTAAAATTTAATGAGCTCTCGAGGAAAACGACTCTTAATAATGAAGTACAAACTGTCCGATGATTAATTAAATAAGTAAATACTTAATAAAGGATCGTAATTCTGTTAGAGATCAAATCATTCATAAATCTTAATGTAAAATATCTCGATGCGATAATAATACGATCATATTAATTAAATAATTGTCTTCCAATATTTCTGCATTTCAGTATAAATATAATTCGTACGAATGAGTAATACATTTCGAAACAATTTTCCTACTTTTTTATACGAGAGAAACTTCCTTAAAAAAAGAATAAAAAAAAAACGAAACTTTCCTTATTCGAACGAATCTTCTCTTAAACGATTTAGAAAAGTTTAGAAATTCCTTTTAAAGCTAAAGAAAACTTTCTAATGTAAGATCTTTCTCTCTGTTAGAGATTTTCCTTTGCGTGCGCAATCGACGAGAAATTCGAGCTCGACTTTCTGCTAAAAACAAAGGGAAACAACATATATTCTTATATTATATAAAAAATATATAAATATAGTTCGTTACCTAGCGAAAAGTAATTACTCACAGAGGGAAATTGTCGATGATTCGAAAAGAGAGAGTAAAAAGAAAAAAGAAAAAGAGAAAAACTAACTATCGGAAAAATTTCGAGTGATTATGAGAATGTATAACAGCAGCAGTATCTCGTTGAAGGGATGTCCACGTTAAGAGTTGGAATTCGTTCGTGTCATTGATTTCTAAACCATAGTGTACTCCTCAAGGACGTAATCATCGGATGTTTCGTATGACACAGAGGTCCCTCTTCTGCTGACCACAACTGTTTGTCGTGGTAAACTGAGAGAAAGAGAAAGAGAGAACAAGAGAGACAGAGACACAGAGAGAGAGAGAGAGAGAGAGAGTAAGAGGGATATTTGTGATTCGCTATTGCTCTTGAACGAACGATCGAATCGTTAATAACGAGCACGATCTCGGGTATAGGCTGTCGTGGTTATAACGGGCTGCCCACATGTCACGGTTCGATGACAGACGTACGAACGCAAAGCGACCAGATTAATTGGGGATAATTAGCAAACAGTTACGCGCTGCGAGTAACTCCCCACCCACCCCCTATTCTATTTCTCTGTTCCTCTCGCTTTCTCTTTCTCTCTTCCACTTACTCTTCCTCTGCATTTCGAGCCGAAAACTAGACGCCAAATTCAAAATAAAGCGACAACAGAACACATTTCGCTTACCGATCGCAATGTCATTTTCGATGACGGTATTGATTGAGTGCGGTTTTACGGTGTAATGGTCTTTCGTAACATAGAGACCAAATGGTGAAATATCAAAGTGACTTTGTAATTTCCCTTGCTTTAAGTATGAACATTAACATGTGCGTCGAAAATTAATTAATAAAATATAGATATTATAAATGAGAGGGGAGAGTAAAAAATACGAATTAAAATTAATACAAATGTAAAGCTAAAGGTAAACATATTTTTGGACGAAACGTAAAAGATAGGAATTTTTATAAATGTCTTGTTTTTTTTGTTTAACCCTATGAAATTCGTTTTTTTTTACAGTCTTACAGTATCAAGAGATATAAACGAGTTCTCATTGTATTAAATAATTTAAATAATTTATCGAGTTAAAGTTTTAATAAATTATTAGAAAAATCCTACGCCGGTGGACGTAATAATCGATAAACTCGATAAGAAAAAAAAAAGTAGAAATTGGAATTGGTATATCTTCGGATGAGAATTGTTAAGGTTTAAAAATTGAATCAAATATTAAAGGCCGAGGGTATTTCTTTTCGTTGATTTCGCGAGATAAGCTCGCCGCCCGTAGTTCGAATAATCTTGCAGTTTTTCGTACGGTTAACGAGGAAGAACCGAAAGGTAGAAACTTTTCTCTTCTTGGGAAAAATCGAGGATGAACAAGGAGGAAAGAAATAAAGAAAGAAATAAAGTAAGAAAGAGATAGGAAACGTATAAAAGGATCGGTCGACTATTCTCGCGTGTCGGTACTCTCGCAACCCTGTCGTTGATGACCGTTTCTATGGTGGTGGTAGTTGGTGATAGTGATGGTAGTGGTGGAATTTGGTTTCGTGCCAAACGCCTATGTACTTTGAGACGACGGCGTGGAGTATTTACTCTCTTTTTATTTCATGTCGTGCTTAGAAGGGCAAGTGGAGGGATGAAAGAGAAGAAGACATAGAGAGAAAACCAAAGAAAAGGGTTCGGAGATAGACTTTGAGAAAAAGAAAGATGCAACTGTAAAAAGAGGGAAAGAAAATAAAAAAAGAAAAGAAACTCGCGACAAGAAATATATAAAGAAAGAATAAAAAGTAAATATGAAAAAGAGAATATAAGAATAAATGTACCCCACGCAAGCAAGCAAGCATACAAAGTTTATTTCATTTTACTAAAAATATAAGTTTACGTTATAAACATTTTCTTTTATGAATAAATGCACAATAAGTTTATCGTTATTCTTTGTTATATTGTTTATTACAAAAATTTTATTGAAAAAAAGGTCGATAATATTTAAAATCCTTTATTATTAATATCATAAAGAATCAATGCACACGAATACAATTTTTCTTTCTATTAGAACACATGTCGGTTAGTAGACTTTTTTAGATAAAATAGTTGAAACATCTCTGAAATTCAGGAAACACTTACAAATTTTGTTTCCTTCGTAGATTATCGACTTCTTTGCTATAACATCGACTCGTTATCCTCGTTGTTTTCGGTTAACGAATCGCTACAACTTCGTTTCCATTTCCAGTTTAACGATTCTAGATGCATCCCAACGAAGACGACGACGACGACGAGGACGAGGACGAAGATCTACGCGTAGAATTTCGTTGCATACGTGGAAACCCAGGCATCATTTAGTCACATTCAATGTGCAATGCATACCGCAAATGCAAATACCCGAATAGACCGTTTTCCGCTTACGAGTCCTATTGTTCTATTAACCAGCGCGGTCCGTCGTTCTCTCAACCAACTCGATGACTTCCCTTACGTCCTAGTAGAAATACACCGAAATTTCGCTGACCAACTTTAACGTTTATTAAATATACCTGCTTTCTATTTCTATCTTTCCTCAAACTATACGTACTTACACTTATAATACTTGTTCATTTATGGTTTCATTTTTGAATCCTTCAAAAACTAATTTCAAGATTAATATCCCTATATATCTATTATTATTATAGTATAGACAAATACAAAAATAAATGTAAACAAAAAAATTAATTTTACTTTTTTAACTTTATCGTTTATAGTAATAATGAATGAAAGAATAGAAAAAAAAAGAAGAAAAAGAAAAAATGTAATCCTTTTAGAAAAATGCAAAGTAAACGACTTGCGTTAGATATCACGATCACTGACACATTTTAATGCATATCTTCAAAAGAAAGCACGAATTTTCGTGACGCGGATCTTTTAAATAAAGAGGATAAAAAAAAAAAAGAAAAGAAAAAGAAAAGAAAGGAAACATCGGGAGGGGGGGGAGGCAGTCTTTGCAGTGGGTGTGCGTGGCAAACGAGAGACTCTTTATCGATTCTTCTTTCTTTCCATTCTCATTATTCTTTATTTTCTCTTTTTTTCTTTTTCCTTTCCTTTCCTTTCCTTTCCTTGAACTGGATGATCCCCAAACGAGGTTGGGGCGAAAGGTAGCATAGGGTAAAGAGAAAGGAAGAAGATGTCGAGAATGGTGGCGGCGTGCAACACTGAGTTATTCAATGGAACGCAGAGAACACGGCTCTTCTACGTATATCAGGAAACAGTTCCCGTGGGACTCGTAACATCTCGTTCCGTCTAACCCCCTATATACATTGTCGCGATCGTGAAACGTGCCACACGAATTTCCTGCCGTCCAACTCTGTC